GCAGCGTGCTGCCGGGCGGTGTGTCCATAACATAATGCCCTTCATCAGGACGTTATGGGTCTTCCTTCCCTTGGTATTTTTTAGCTTTCTTTTTTTGTATCCTTTGGACACGGATCTTATGAGCCATTTGGATACTTTTTATAGGTTTTCAGATGGGTAAGGGTTTTATGTCCCCCTCCTAGGTTTTCTTTTACATTTTAATAAAATTTAACATTGGCTGCCCCTCCACCGGGGATATGGGGTTAAAATATATACACACACACTTAAGATGTGCAGTAACTTTTGGAACTTGAAAAGAACATGATGTTAATCAAATCTTGGAATTTCAGAAGATCTATCTAAGAAGATTCCCTATAATTAAGTTTAAATGAGGAATCTATAGAATGTTACTATTTCAACAGGTAATATCTAAAGCATAACTTTCAAGATAATGCCTTGGCTATAAGGCATTTTTTGGGATTGCACCCATTGAAAGTAGTAATAGAAGTGGAATTATTTGCTATTTTTATGTCTTATGCACCAATTTCTGTTTTTTATAGGTCTTTTGTCACAAGTGCCCTACCAAGGGCACTTTGTAATTTTCACATAATTCCAGCAACTATATAAGAGAGTGGGGGCTCATTATTAGACCCACAATCTGATTTTCTCTTCCTTATCTTATTCTTCTCCCTTTTCTATTTTCTTCTTTTAACACCAGATTTTATTTGTTCTTTGATCAGCTGTTGCTGAATTCAACAATATGGTATCACAGCAAGGAGACTACGATAATGATGATGTTGTTAATGATCAGACCTGAATCATGTAGAGATGGAGAAATTCCGCTATTTGGAAATTTTGATCGTGATGGATATTTTGCAATGTAGAGATAGAGAAATTTCAAAGATATTTGACTAAGATATTTGAAAAATCTAAAAAAATAGGAAAGATTTCTAGAAACATGGAATTAGTTAATAAACCTTCAAGGAATAATTAGAATAAATATAATTGCACATTTAAAGCTCAAAAACCCGTAGCAAGGAACTATATTAATCAAATAGGGGAAAATTGAGAGACTTTAATAGGTATCTTTCTCTTTGTCTCCCTTTTAGTCTTCTAGCCATCTTGTCTTTATTAAATATGTCAATTACTTGCCATTTTTACCTTTGTCCTTTTTGTTACTACATGTTTTGATTAGATTGGGCACTCTTTTATAGTTATATGCATTTTACTTTTTCTTTTGAACGATAGTGACTCACTAAGTGAATCATATCAAAATAGTAAGTCAGTTATCCAATCACCAATTCCCCATGGTTCTTTTTGGAAAATAATTAGTCAGTTATCCAATCACAAATTCCCCATGGTTCTTTTAGGAAAATATTTTTAAAACGTTATGATGATTTTAATGAAATGTCAAAAATTTTTAATAATTTTCTAAAATTTTAAACCTTAAATATATAGTCTACCAATGAAATCTGAATTATCATTGACATATCAGCAAAATATTGAAGATATTTGAAAAAAAAAAATGCCTAGAAAATTTTGTATCACCACCTAGCAAAATGGGAATATTTTGCCAAATATTGCTGATATTGTGAACCATGATTTGAGCTACTCCTTCGGTGTTTATTCTTATTTTTTATGTTGTTCTTGGTCAGTTTTTATTCAGGTTTTGTTTAGTTCTATTGGCTTCTTCAATCTCCCCCTTGTTACCTGTTATCCAAAGGATTTTACAATTTCCTGAAAGTAGTAGAATGATTTGCAATGGCACGAATACCTAAGTGTGCATAAGCAAAAGAGGAATTAGTCTCTGAAGGAGTAGATGCTATAGATGGAGACTCCAAGTGATTGATTGTTTTGCCATATTTCTCATATTTAGATCTGGTGGCTGCAAGTTGTTTCCCCACAGATTTCTCAACACTTGACCCCTGTTCACTCTATGATGAGGTGGATACATTTGCATTTCCACTTTTCCCACTCTCATTCCTTTTACCATTGTTTCCATTTGAATCTGGTAGGCATGGTCTTTGGATGCAGCATCCAACAGGTGTCCTTAGTGTGTTTAGGCTTCTTAAATATTTACACACAACATCCTGCTTTCCAACATTAAACTTTGGCTTTATCTCGGCATTAGCATAATGATCAACTTGAGGTTCCACAAACTCAACCTGTCCCCTACTCTCCTCACTACTAACCATAGCATAGCCTTGAGACAGGGTCACCTCATCTTTTGCTGAAACACTCTATCTCACAATATCATATTTAGGGTTGCGTTTGGTGAGGAACTCAAAAACCCGATTTTTCTCCACCAACTTCCTATGTGTCTCAACATCTTTTTTTGTTCCCCCTCACAACAGTCTCCATCATGTCAATCTCCTGCTAAAAATATTTTAGCATGGATAAGTAACAGCTAAGGGCTTCTCCCCCTGTCTTAGATTGTTCACATCATTCTTTAGTTTGTAGGCCTTGGAAACATTCAACTTTTGGGAATAGGTCTCTGTGACACTATCCCACACCTCCTTTGCAGTATCGATCCATAGGTAATACTAGCTAATATGAGGTTGCATGGAATGATGGAATTTACTAACCATCCTACTACTGTGTAAATTTCCTGCATCCACCTCAAATAGGTAGGGTCATCCTTCGTAGGTTTCTTCTTGCTCCCAATGATGTACCATCATTTCCCTCTACTACATACATGAATCTTTATAGACTAAGATCATGCCAAAAAATTGGTTCCATCTAACTTTATTGTATTTACTGCCCCTAATAGATTCTCCACAAACCTCCCATGGCTAAACCCAGAGTTTGTGGGGTATTTTGTTTCACCTCCAGTTTGCTCCATTGACTGAATGGAAAAAATTGCAAATCAAAATAGGACACTGCTAATCAATGATCACTGACCTAAAGCCAAAACTACTGCTCAACCACCCAATACTAGGGTTTCACAAGACCTAGCAACCCAGGAGGAGAGAAAGTCCAGCCACTCCTACCAGGGATTCCAGAACCCTTCCCTTTAAGCCCCAAGCACCAACTTCAAAGTATCTGTAGAACCCTTAACTCAGTTTTTAGGAAAATCTCCAAGAACTTGTCTTGGGCATCAAACAAGGGTAAATTCCTCTCCAAAAACCCTCCCAAACTAGGTTGTATAAGCTACCAATCAATCAGACAATCAGTTCTCCATACACATTGTGTATGGACCTAAAAGAAGAAATTGCAAAAGGTGGGAACCCGCTCTGATACCAAGTTGTAAATTACACCAGCACTAGTTCTGAAAAGTAACAAAGAAGATAGAAAAGAAGAAGAAAGTGAAGTTCAAGAAAAGGATTTAGAAGGAAGAGAAGAGAATGGAAGAAAAGGGAAGAGGATGAGAGATGTTTGATCCTCTCCCTCTCTCTCTCCCTCAATTGATTAAATATATGTTGAATAATAAATATTGTAAAGTTACATGAGCACTCCTAGTTGGGTGGCTGACTTAAAAAAGCATAAAAAGAGTAAGTATTAAGGCCCATTACAGAAGATAGTGGAAGAAAAGGGAACTCAAGGATTTTTACTGAAAAGGAAAGGAATAGAGATGCCATCATTGAAGTAGTAACTATTAGAGTGGTGCATTGGGTGAAAGCTCTAGAATTATTTGTGGATATCTCTACAGACATGTTTGGAAGGAAGTGGCTAATTGAGCCCCTCTCAAAGCCAAGATCAGTCCCCATTGGTCTCCACCAGTTTGGGGATTTATTGAATTGAACTTTGATGGAAGCAGTGAAGGTAACCCAGTGCCTTCCAGTATTGGAGGAACTTTTAGAGACGAGGACAGGAAAGTTATTGGTTTATTTTCTGGTCTTATTAGTGTAAGTGATTCACTTAGATCTGAAGTTTTGGTAGTAATGGAAGGACTAAAGAAGGCTAAGGAACTGAATATTCATAAGCATATTATTGAAGGAGATTCAAAATTGGTTATAGCCTTATAGGCTGGCTGCAAAAGGAGGAGATTGACTATGGATTTTGTTAATGTTGTGTTTGGTTGCAATGCAAATAAATTAGCACTGATGCAAAACTATGGCAGTGCAAATGATTTTGAGTGTAAATTCTGACCTATTTTTGTTTTAAAATTTAGCTTATTTTGTTTAATTGTAGTACAAATGGTATAAATTAAGATATAACAGAATAAATTAGAAAAAAATAAGCTAAATTCATCCCATTGCTCTATACTGGTTAGTTTGGAAGGAGCACAACAATAAGATTTGCCAAAACAAGGAATCTCCCCTTGAATCTGTTATTGGGAAAGTGGAGAGAACCATAATTGGTTGGGCAGGTCTTTACAAAATTACAAGGAGTTCAGGGGTTGGGAATATCAGTTTGTAATCAGTGGAGTAGGATCATCCATGATAATGATTTCATAATGTAAATGGTTTTTTGTCTAGGCCAGTGCTCACCTTCTTTGGTTTTTGTGAATACTGTCATGCACAGCAGAGTATATTTGTGTATGTCTTTCGGGGCTTTTCTTTTAAATACAAAATACTCGATTATCAGAAAAAACTGTTAAAGGGCATTGTAAAAGAACAATCTTCAACTTATTCATAAATTGGGAATGATTGATGTCTTTACCCAGGTTGAGGGAGAGTATTTAGCTGTTCTTTATTTATCTCTTGTTGAATTGTTATATTTCTTTTCTTTATATTACTTTCATCCATGGGTATTTATGTCATTTTATATGTAACTAGAAAGAACATAGAAATAGAAAAGAGGGTGCACGCCCAAATACCTTTTTTGGCCTTCAAATTTTCTTCTCTCTTCTCTCTACTTATTCTTTTCACAAATTCAGTTTCCTTAAATCAAAAAATTAGTTTTTAATTCTTTAATTTCAAGCATCTTAATAGATGAACTACAAATCTATGAATGCTGAATTCTGGGTACAAAATGTTATATGCGTATAGGCGAATTTCCATTTTGTGGCATTATATTGAAATACAAGCATTCTACTGAGGACAAAGTAACATAATGTGCACCATATTCTGTGTCTGCAGGACTTAACATCACACCAAGAGATCTTGCTTTGCTTTGTCAAAAGGCAAGACCATATGCACAACCTTTCTCTGTTTTTTTTCCTGCTTCTTATTAGAATCTTTAAGAAATCCGTTTTCATATGGTTAATTATAACAAATATTTGACAGGTTGAGAATCACATTGTTGGAGCTCCATGTGGTGTGATGGACCAGATGGCATCAGCATGTGGTGAAGCCAACAAACTTCTTGCAATGATCTGCCAGGTATTGGTTGTCACATAACTTGCTTAAAGGTGTTTTTCAAGTTAAAGTTAATGCCCATAATTTGTTTGAAACATGTACAGCCTGCTGAACTGATTGGACTGGTTAACATCCCCACTCACATAAGATTTTGGGGTATTGATTCAGGAATAAGACATAGGTATGAGCTCCATTTTATTCTTTCTAACCATAATTGGCCCTTATTTATCTCATGACTTGATTGGCAAGGACCTTGCTTACAGATGGTTCTTTAAATTCATGAAAGGATGAATTATGATCATTATGAGAACACTGTTATGTTTCTTGATCTCTTCTTCTGCTTTTTTTTTTTCCTTTTTGTTTCATGCTTTTAACTCTATCTAGTGCTTTGCTACCACAATCATTCATTTTTTTCTCTTGTAAATTTCTCGTGCAAATTCTCTCTTTATTTTCATTGACCGAGTTAACCAATATCTTCCATTATCTGAAACAAAGTCCCATTAGCCTTGTATTAACCAACGATGAAAGAACCCAAGCAACTCAACTAAAACTTAACCCAACTGTTTTGCATGGGGGAGGGCCGGAGGGGGAGAGAGCTATCTCCACTCCACTCTTGCAAAAATGATAGAGTGTAGAGCATAGGCCTATTGTATTAATGTGCTGCTGAATTTTACATCATATTTTCTCATAGTTTCTTTTTCTCTTCTCCCCACTAGGGAAAGTTTGATAATAACTGTCAGAAGTAAACTTGTTACAATAATTCACTATTCATGTATGAACCAAGCAAGTATGTTTTCTGATGCCTCCACCTCAAGGCACACCTGGAGGTGTACTCAAGGCTTCAATCTGAAGAATGGAGCAAATACTGCAAGTAATAGAGATGAAAAGCATCAAGATATTGAAGAAATAATAAGAGAGAACGTGACTTGTTAGGGTCCACAAATTGTGGAATCAAGTCTCATGTTTAAGAATTAAAATCCCATCACTTTTTCTATTTCAAAAGGAAAAAAAAAATCTCACTGTCCTAATTAAAATCCCATCACTTTTTCATGCTAAACCTTACTTAACCTTTGTTAAAGTTTATGCTACAGGGGTAATATTGAATTTTTCCTTTTGTTTCTTAGTCTTATGTCTTATGTCTTATGTAACTCTTAGAGGGTATTTTTGTAGTTTTAGTTTTTATTAGAAACCTAATAAGACAAAGGCCTATAGGAGGGAGAGAGGTAAGTTTGAATCTCTCTCTTGGACATCATTTCTTCTCTCTTCTTCCTTTCTTCTCCCTTTTTGGACCTTGTCTCAACTGAATCTCTTCCTCTTCCCTTTTCTTTTGTATTTCAACTTTTCTTCACCTCTTTTTGTCATTTTTTCACATGGTATCAGTGCACTAGGGCTCGGCTGTCACTGTTCACGCTATTTTTGCACCCTAGGAGTAGAGAACTCACTCTATTACCTACAAGGAAAGAAAAGGACCTAAAAGGAGTGGTCTCTCATTAGAAAAGGAGGATTTAAAGCCTCCAGTTGTAGCTGTTATGGTGTTTTGGGTGTTCTTCTAGAGTTCCCTCTTGCCACGACCAAAAAGAGGGATGGTTATGGTGTGTGGCTAATGCAGAAAATTAGTGATAGTGTGTAGAGTATGAACAATGTGTTGTGGTGTGGTGATAACCATAGTTTAAAATGTCCCTAATTTCCCTAACATTTCCACAACGTATTTCCATTTCCATGGGTAGTGACATGAAACTTTACCGGAATCAACAGAATCCCCAGTGAACACTACCAGCATTATGTGGAGTACAAGAGATAGTTTCCACAACATATTTCCATTTCCACTTCAATGGGTAGAAACTTCTACATGAAATTTTACTGAAATCATCACATTCCCTAATTAACACTACCAGCACTATGTAGAGTACAAGACAAAGTATATAAAATAAGTTGGTCAAAATGTTGTATATATGTGAAGTAACAATGTTATTGCCCGTTTAACTTACATGGTTACCACTTTGAGCTAGCTCAATATTCATTTCAAACATGAAATCAAGTATTAGTCTTTATTGTGTAATAGATTATTTGGTTGATCTATTACAACCATTTACGTTTTCTGAGTTTAAATTTTGCTTCAATTCATTCTATCACGAACCTATAAATCTTAAGGCTTACAGGGCAACTTCAGAATGCATTCTTTTTGTCTATAACCTTAGTTTCTTAGCTTTGTTTAATGATTTGGAAAAAGATAATAATTTAAAAAGGTGTGCCCGTGCTTCTTTTTCATTTCATAAAATACCATTCTATGTTTTGCATCTTTTACAATGTTTCCACAATGTCTATAATTTTTACAATATTTCCATATGATATTTCCGACATTTCCAACATGCTTCTTATACTTGGATGACCAATATTTCCACCAATATCAACATTCTAAACCTTCTGATAACCCTAATGTAATTGTGTCGGTCTCCCAAGTAAGAGTTGTTTTCTAGTTGTGGTATCTTGCTTCTTTTTTGGTGCTGGAAACTAGTGTAACAAGTTGATTTTCTGGTTATGGGTGACTATAGTGTATTTTTTCAACCTTTTGTGACCTATGGCTTCTTCCACTAGTAGCACTAAATAACCTGTAGTAGTGCAATCAGATTTAATGAATACCCCATTAACCAAACTGAAGCTTAATGGCATGAACTATGTACCATGGGCCAAGTCTGTGGAAGTTTCTTAATTGGAAGATGCAAGCTGAATATATTAGGGAGGACCAACCCAAAGAGTAGGGGTATAAAGAGTACAATGAATGGGTGCAAGAAAATGCACAGATTATGACTTCGTTGTGGAAAAGTATGGATAAGTAGAAGATCAAGACTGTAATCAGTCTTGAATCCTAATAGGTTTTAGGTTTACAAAACAGAATGAAAGTGAGAGAAGGGAGAGGGAATAGAAGAGAAACAGG